CCCTGCCTCTGCAGACGGCAGGGATATTAGTTACTTTTGCTCAAACATAGTCGGAGTGAAGCGGACCAGTGGATGTGGTTAAACATGATAATTAATTAAAAAAATTAATCACATTTAAATTTTTAATGCATTTGTAACACACGGGTGGAATGACACGCACTGTTCCACAAACCACTGTCAGGACGCACCAACCCACCAACTTAACGCAGCACTATTTTAAGTTTAAGTTATGCATTTTTCTCTTGACATTTTTCCATGTTAATAATTCCATCATTTGGATCAGTCACAAATTAGAACATGTGGGAAACAGTGACATACCTGCTATTATTTGTCTCTTTGTTCCAGTGGTACATTACAGCTCTTACAGTTACATTTAAGAATGTTGATTCACTTGATTAATCTTGATTAATTCTGGTTAATCACAATTTGTGATTATCCCAATAATAATAATTATTTGTGATTAATTGTGAATCCATAACAATATACAGTGAAACGCTTCATTGTCATTTTAAACAATGTTGATTCACTCGATTAATCATGATTAAACACAATTTGTGATTGTCACAGTTAATCATGATTAATTGTGATCAATCCACAGCAATATACAAGGAAACATTTATAGACAAATAATCTTGATTAATTTAAAAAATCTTATTACTATTGTAATTGTTTGACAACCCAATGTAGAATATAATTTTATTAATTTAATAATTTTCATAATACATAGTCTCTAATTTTTTTTTTTTAAGTGTAAATAGTTTGTTTTTTTTATCGTCACTTTATTTTCTAATAAAAAATACATTTTCTTTGAGCCACTTGAAAAAAATCTGGCGATCAGGGCCGTGAAACATCTGGGCTAAAATTAACAGCCTATTATTCCCAACTGCTGACTGGATGCTTTATTAGAGTGAAAAACCCAAAGCTCGTCATTATTATTAAACGACTCACATTTGGCTTATTTGGAACCAGATGTTGGCCAGAGGTTTTCTCTTTTGTCTGAGCACATACTGTAGTAAAAGTGTTGGTTGAAGAGTAACTGGTTTACCATCAATTACTGCAATTTCACTTCACACTGTTTTTCATTAGTGTGGTGAGGAATTTCTTAATTATCTGACATGAATGAAGGAATCAAAACTGTTTTTTTTATTACTTGATGTCAGGACCAGTGCTGGGCTGGAGGACAGGTTGGCACACAGCTGGAGTCAAACCCCCAAACATTCTGGTGGAAAGCTGACCCCTCCACCCACCTGAGGCCTGACTGCACCCCCACAATAATTTCACATGGATGTTTGAGTGAATTATTACAAATTTGATTTACTATAAAAAGTCCTGCAGTTATTTTTAGATTAAAGAAAGTCTTATGTCTCGGACATTTGAATCTTTGACTTTAAACTCAGAACAGATTTTTTGGGAAAAGAAAACAGACTGAGTTTTTTTTCTGTCTGTTAAAGGAGTATTTACAGTATTAAAGGGACACGGTATTAAAACATATAAAATATGAATTATTAGGTTTTTCTGGCATCAGTTCAACATAAATAGCAGACAGAGTGTTTTTTAGTACTAGTGGTCCGCCGTGTGTCCTGCAGGTCTTTAAAGCCATACATTATGAGAATAAGTCAAATATTATAAGGCAAACCAAAGCATTTCTTCTTTTAAAAACAAAGATATTTCATTACATGTACAACATTTCAGTCTCAACTCTTCTGCAGTGACGTTTCCATCAGTGAATTCCCTCTTTGTTGAATTCTGGTGGATTTTAAAACCTGTCTCAATGCTTTCCACAAGTTGTTTTTCACATTTTATTCAAATTAGTTTGAATGTTTTGAATTAAAAATGAATCTAAAAAAGTCTTACAATTTTTGTTCCAAGGGTTGAAAACCATACCACTTACCATGTACAGTTATCCTGACCAAATTGTGGTTCAGCGGCTGACTGTGGCCTTTTAACAATAATGTTATTATTAACACATTTTAATAATGTGTTTTATAAATAATAACTGAAAAAATGCTAAATTTAAATGTAATATTTTAATAATACTAATAATAACATATATTTTGTGACAGTACACAGGATTAATACCATTTCTCAGTTTTGTGATGGTCGAAAGCTTTGGGGTAAAAAAATTAAAACTTCCATTTCCCTTTGACTCACAGGTTGAACATTTGGAGAAAAAAATTCTGTCAGAGCCCAGAATCACATCTTTGTTTTTTTCAGGCTGCATTCAGACACAGATCATGTTTGGTTCAGCTGAAACAGCCCCAGTGCAGTTGCTCTTTTTAGTGTGAATCACTTGAACATATGTAAACGGTACCATCTGCACCTCAGCTGAGCACAGAGCCTCTTCAAAAAGGGAAATCTTGGTGCACCTCCAAGTGGTTCGCTTGATATGCTGGCGCCATATGGACGAAACAGCATCCAACTGAACCAAAGACACAAACAACTTCACAGAGTGAATAGGCACGTGACTAATAAATGGCAGGAAGTAGAGAGAAGCAGGTGTACGGCAAATAAAAAAAAAAACTTTGACTGTGAAGGAAAAGATTTACAGACACATGGGGCGCACATGAAACAGGATGGGGGGGGGGGGGGGGGTCAGCTAGTAAAAGGTGGGACTCTAACATGTGACCTTCCTGCTGTGAAGCAGAAGTGCTAACCACTAGACTACACCATGCCGCAAAAATTGATTTTCGATTATCAAGTAAAAGTGAATGTGTCTGTAGTTATCCAGTTTTATTAAGAAAATTATTTAAAATGTGGAAATAATAATGTGATAATATCATTTTACAAAATAATAGTTATAAAGTCACAGGGATTTAAACCAGCAACTTTACTTGTACATGTATTTGTGCTTTGTATCTATATGTATATGTATGTACAGTATGTATATGTGTTTTATCTTAATATGCCTAAAGACTATTTTCACATTGTCAATTTTTTCTCATCATTTTCTACAGTAAATATATATATATATAATAAACATTTATCCAGGGGATATTTCTTCTAGTATATTGTTTATCTTGTTTCACTGTTAAATATACAGTTTAAAGCAGTGGTTCTCAAAGTGGGGGGTGGGCCTTATAGGAAGGCATGGAACTGGTGCTTAACTGTAGCCTGCAGACAGACTGCAGTAAAGCAAATTAGGTTTGCAGTGAAGCACATTTTTTTATTTTACTTATTTATGCCAAATTTGGAAAAAAATGCAAAGTTTTGACATTTTATTTCCTCTGTATCATGAGAACTTCAAGGTGTAGTGTTTTAAACAAAGTTTAGTAGAGTTTTGGAGCATAAGCGAGTATGTCCAGGTGGGATGTAGGAGTTGACAATAGTTCTACCTACCAAAGGGGGGTGCTGTTTAAGAAGCAGGGGCCTGAGGAGTGACTCAGAGTTACAGGTTAGTGTAGTTATATGTGTACAACATGACAGTAAACTTCTGACTGTGGTGTAAACCATGGTGTAAGGCTCCCAGTGTTCACGCCGACATGGTCACAGGGACAACATGGCAGTGATTTATGGTCCATAAGCAGAGTAGAAGTTTGCTGGCACCTGTACAAATCACTCTCATCCTCAGCCCCTCTGTCAGTCAGAGAATCAAGTGTTTTTCGCCGGCTGTCTCAAACTGAAATTTATCCTTCAGCTGATGAAATAATGCACTTTAGTTTTCGGTAGCAGCACACCACCTGGAAACACGGCTACTGTTTGATAAGTAATCAATCACGTAACACCGTGTAAATCTGCCCAGAGCTGCTTTCCTTTCCTCACACTCACAGCTCAGATGACAACTCCCTCCACGGCTTGGTTCCTGTGCTGCACCCAGCCGATCCGAGGTGTGGGAAGGTGCAGCGACCTGCGGGTGGTCGAGACTCGCAGTAGAAACTCCTGTGAGTCTGCTTTAGTTGTTCACGGGGTAAACCTTGAAACACACATAGACACACGTGTCGTTCTCCACCGGGTCAGTCTGGGGTCTGCGGCCTTTCACACGTCGACCGCTAATGAGGTTTCAAAATCTGAGTGTGAGGTGAAGGCAGTCTGACCTCCACTCGAGGAGCTGAGTTGTGGGGAGATGGCGGCAACGCTGTTGGTCAAATCACTTCTGACATAAATCCTCTGAACAATGTGCAGTAGTCTGGCTCTGGGGAAAAGCTGCGCAGAGAGAAGTGGTGCGAGCTCGCTCCTCAGTTTGACCCCAGAAGTCGTCTGCAAAAGTATTTGCAGCTGTTCGTTTGTGAGTCCAATACGTACGGGCTGAAATGTGGCTTTTGTGGATTCTCAAAAAAAAAAAGTCTTTGTTCGCATTATTAAATAATTTTGTCTTTTTAAAGACTTTATAAAGTAAATGGGGAAAAACAGAGCAAACTTGTCAAGCGTCTGCATCAGTTACTGACTTTACTGTTTGCACAAGTCAACTTTGAATCTTTATATTTAACTTATTTATTACAGAAAATGTTTTACTTTTTCATAGAGACAATAACAATAAATAGAAAGACATTCTACAAAATGTAATATTATATTTTATTTAAGTAGAAGAGTGGTGTTTATCGTTGAACTGTGAAAAATGACTCATGCTATTTCTTTTTAATTTAACATTTAAACTGCAGTTTTTTTAATTATTTAATTTGTATTTAAAAAAATTAAAAATCTGGGACAAATTCCAGATTTTGTTCAATTTTGTTTTAATTTAACAAAAAATAATACACCTTTAAAAATACGTTTTAATATAAATAAATTCAATAATAAATAGTAGTAAATACAATAACACATAAGCATTCTGTGTCAAATTAAGGTTTTTAATATATTGATAAAAGTTGAATTAAATGTGATTGAATAATTGTAAAATTGAAGGTTAAAGTAACAAAACATTTTTTTAAATTGTTTTAAAGAAATTACAAGGTAGCAATTAATTTTTGTTTTCTCCACATTACATTATATGCGCAGAATTGAGTGAATTTGAATGTGAATTTCGTTCAACAGACGATTTAAACAAATTGACCAGGTTGCACCGATGGTTTTTATAACAGATCTTATTTTTATTGAGGAGTCAAGTTGGACTTTCCATTTTTAGAAAATAGACCAATGACAATATTACAAATAATGAAATTGTTACATCATTCACAGGGTTACAGTCAATATACATTTATACAGACAGACAGGACCTTCCCACATCAGTCACAGTGGTCTGAAGCAGTGTGGGGTTTTCAACAAAGCAGAGGGAACATGTGGAGTCTGCATGAGCCAACGGCTGGCGTGATGCTGGTGATGGTGGAGGTGGTGGTGATGGAGAACACTACAGAGACAAACAGGAGAGGTCTGGTGGTGTGTGTAACAGTTCGTCCTGCCGACAGAAAAACACAGCTTTGTGGAGTCACAGTTAACATCTACTGATGGCTAAAGAAGTGGAAACAAAAATCTGTCCTTTCACCACCCCAACAGTAGAGGGCGCTTCTGTGCTTCATGCTTCCAGCCATCACGCAGGAGCCATTTTCTGTCTGCCACCTCAGAAGGCTGACGACTTCTGCTCTGACCAAACTGGAGCTGGAGTGCGTTCAGAAAGCAGCCCAGCAGTGGGTGCAGCCTGGCACGGCTTCTGTTTATGCACACTATCGTGTAACTGTAACACTGAGACTTAACGGTTTTTCTCCGTCCTTCAAATATTGGCACAGAGTGAGGACAGGACTGGCTGGATCGTTTCACAGATGCAGGGGGAGGCAAGACAAAAAACAAAAAAAAAAAGAAGCAGGGAGCGTGAACATTGCAGGAGGCAAATGTAATGTAAAAACCAGAAGTGTACTGCATTACTACAGTATCCAAAGACAATAACTAAAATAGAGTTAAAGCAGAGAAACCAGTCTATATGTGTAGACGACGGGACCTTTGTGCCACGACCGTAGGAAAGGTTGCCATTAAAGCTCATCTGTAAAGTTGAACACACATTCTTTCTGCGTGACATGAACAGCATGAAGCACAATGTTTTAAAAGCTGTGAGCCTAAAGGGAATAAACATTCCAATCCTAATATCTGTACATGCAAATCTGGAATTGCACATTTACCACCACTGATGTCTGGATGAAATATTGTACCACTGGAAATTTCAGCAAGGAAATAATAAGTTCCTTAAAATTCATAAATGTTAACAAATCATTTTCAAGTCTTGACTAAGTCTTGACTCAGTCAGAGTCAAGACTTAGGTCTTTGAAGGATAAAACCAAATCAAGTCTCAAGTCTATGATGGGTTATGGCAAGTCACTGTATTCTACTCCAAGTCTCAAGTCTTAGTATTCAAGTCTCAAGTGTTTCAGGGGAAATACAAAGGCAAGTCTGACATCTTTGTATTTAGGTCCAAGTCAATTCTCAAATTTGTGAGAGGCAACACAAAGACGAGTCTCGTATCTTATTCCCCAAGTCCAAGTCACTCAAAGGAAAATGCAAAGTCAAGTCTCAAGTCTTGGTATTGAATTCTTTGAAGTCTTTGAGGGGTAATACCAAGGCAAGTCTCAAATCTTATTTCCCAAGTGTTTTTATTTTTCAAAACTTTAAGGAAAAATGCCAAGTCAGGTCTCAAGTCATCTGTCATAAGTCTAAGGCAGGTCTCAAGTCTGAACTGCAACTGAAATACAGTTTAATTTTTTTTTCTTACATCATAAATCTTTAGGAAGTGATATCACAACAGTAGCCTTTTCTAGAACAGCAAACACCCTACATCCACACAGACACCGCTTAGCAATGAAGCTAGCTGGTAGCCTAGGCTACATAACCAAAGTTCTTTCCTGACTTAACATGCTGAGTGTTTTGTCATGTTGCGCAAATTATATTCATGTATACAACATGAATTTTGCAAACAATAATTTCATGAAATCCCAAGCCCCAAGTCTTAGTCTTTAAAAGCAAGTCTGAAGTCAAGTCACTGCAGTCAACTTATGTGCGACTTGAGTCACCGAGTTTCAGGAAAACAAACAACAACAACAAAAAACAAAACAAAACAAAACTCACCGTAGTGACTTCCAGCTCTCTGGGAAGAACTGAGATTATGTACATCGACGTCCAAACCGGACATTTTCACAGCTTCAGTTCCAACCACGTCACCAGTCGGTGAACACTAAGGAAGCCAGGATGACCTGAAGCACCTGAATGTGACATGTCCCAACAATCCGTTCTAACTCCCCACATTTACCTGTTTGTACTGTGATGCCTAAATAATACAACACAAATATTAGTGTTTTTTTTACAAACACTCTGAACTGGAACAGGAGTTCTTCAACGACTCCTTCAGATCAAATTGAAAACAGTACAAATGGGGGATGAGATTTTTTCTCCCAGCTTCAGGAAAATAAAAACCCCTGACAGAAGAATCATCTCCAGCCTGGTGTTTATCAAAAACAGTACGTCTAACCGTCCTGCAGAGCGTCTTTCCTTGGAGCCAAGTTTTGATAATTGCGTGATTCATAACCTGTCAGTGTCCATCTGACAAGCAGCTGAATGGCTTTTAATAAAAAAAAAAAAAAAAGAAGCCTGGAGTAAAAGGAGTGAGAGTAACACTTTCCCTGTGTGGACTTGAGATGAATTTCTCCGGCAACACAAAGAGTTTGAAGATAGAATTTTTGCCGTGTTAGTAGAACACGTAAAAACCTTGGCCTCACCTAATGAAAAGCAGTGAGGAGTTAGTTGTTCAGATGTGGGAAAGGAAGACAGTCGTGAGCCCTGTTTTGAGAAAGAAAAATGCATGTTGGCATCAGTGGCATTTAGGTCACAGCATCCCTTTCCCCTGGCTCCTCCACTATGACTAACAGCTCATTATTCTCCTCCCTGGGTTTTACATGCTATAAAAGCTTCCAGGGAAATATTCCTTCTGATGTGTTACGCTGCATATGGAAATAACCGGAGAGGATTATGGAGCATGAAGAGAATGAAAATCCCTCCACTCCTGGCCTACAATCCTATGGACGGGCAGACACAATGAAAGGTGGGATGATGAAAAGTGGAGCAACAGAGAGGGTTTCTGAAGCAGGGTCTCTGTGCTCCAGCTGCCTGGAGTGACACCAGAAAAGATCTGGTCCAGAGCAGAGGATCTGGTTCATGTGAATGAGGCAACATCTGGAGGAATATTGTTTTTGTTTTGTTTTTTTCCACAGAAGAAGATGGGATGCAGCAGCGGCAGCAGCAGTTCTAATGCTGTGTGTCAGTTTGTGAGCTGCTGTTGATGCTTTTTGACTCACAAAGACAAAACCAAACAACTGCTGGGAGCAGACTGGGAGGAGATCAGTGGGAGCTGCAGACATGCAGTCGACAGCCCCGTGTGTGAGTGAGTAGGAGAGCGTGAGCGTGTGTGTGTGTGTGTGTGTGTGTGTGTGTGCATCTGATGGAGGCAAGAAACAGGGAATCAGCAGCCGGACAGAGTGGCTGTGATCAGGGTGGGGCCACCCCGCTGTGACGGCGCACATCTGACCCATGACTCACAGCTGGACGTCCATGTCTGGTTGTCAGGTCTCTGATCAGATCCCAGTTGGAGGTGGGCACTGTTGATATGACATCCTGGCTGTACACATAACCAGCCACATTATTTATCATCCCAGGGGAGTCACTGCGGCCCCTATGGGTTGCATCAATTTCTCCACATCAGTGACAAACACACAGACAATAACTGACAACCCTGTCCTCGACGGACAGCTCTATCCACAGGAAAACATACAGTAAACATAGCTACTGCCTGTAGAGTCAAATCTAAACCCGTTGCAGGGAAGATCAGTGTCATCCACATGGTCTTCATTCACCAACATGGCCCCCCAACCCTCCCAAAAAACAAAAGGATCAGATGAAAATAAAAACCATTCAAAACTACCCATACAAACCGGCACTAATATAACACTTATAAAACCGTGTGTTTAATTTTACAAAAGCCTGATTGGGAAATCTAGTGTGTGATTGATCCTGCATGGTAATGAAAACATAAAATACCTGAAACATGAAGAGCACAACTGGGAGAAGAAGAGGAAGAAAAAAAACAGTCGAAGTTTATGTGCGGACACATTATTCTCAGCAAAGTGTTTCAAAACCCGAGCTCGTACCAAACTGTTCTGGTAATTGCAGCAAATCAAAGCAGTGTGAAATTAACCACTCACTCAGCATGCCATCACAACACACTCCCCACACTTCCGGAGCGACCTTGCGGACGTGCACGTGGCTGTGCACGGCCAGCACTGGAGCAGAGGGAGGAGGACAGAACAGGTGGAACTGCACCTTTGTGGAGAAAGTTGTTGTTTTTTTTTCATCAGAAAATGGAGAGATACCACAAAATCCTCGCACAGCTCCTGCACGGAACAACGGAAATGTCTCTGAGTCACTGTGTCGTCGTTAGCACGGCTGTGATTAGATGGAGAGAGTTCTGTTTGGCAGACTGCGATTTTTTTTTTTACTCACTGTAAAACAAAGCAAATTAACTTTTTGTCCGTAGTGAGAGGAAGCATGGAGAGAGGGAATCTTCACATCACACGAAATAGAAAAGGAAAAAAAATCCTTGAAATAAGAGCAATAGTTTCTCTTTTTTCATGATTGAGTTCACTGCGTAAATGTCCTGAACGGAGCGGAGCGAGAGAGTCTGGACGCCGGCGGTTGCCAAAGCTCGTCTGTTACATGTTGTTCTTTTGGAATTTCTTCTGTCGTCTGGGAAAACAGTTGGAAGCGCACGTCCAGCTCCTCGGTTCTCCTCTGTGGCGCTTCCTTCCAAAAGGCCGAAGAGGACTCCATTTTCTCAGCTCCAAAAATCAACTTCAGATCATAATATCCACATTGTCTCATCGCTTTAGCAATTCTTTTGTTTTGTTTTTTTGTTGGTTTTTTTCATTTTTTTGTTGCCCTTTTTGAAGGGGAGCGTTCCTACTCAGTTCATCTAATGTACAACCTTATATCATCTATACATTTAGATAAGCTCCAAAACTTTTATCACTTTGTCTTTTTTTTGTCCTTTTAAAAAAAAAAACTCTTTACAAATTCATCAGAACAAACAAACTGAAAACGGTAAATGTTCAACATCAAATGAGGATCGGTGGAAGATAGAAGATAGAAATGTGTCGCTGGTTGATCTAAATTTACGTTAAGGTTTTAGAGGTGGGCTGTTGGCTGTTGTCCCTCGGAAGCTTCATCACATGAACGTTCTCTCCATTACTTACTTCAAGGAAGGAGAGACGAGGGTGACGAGGGGAGGAGGAGAGAGGGATGTGGAGAGACGAATGATCGTCTGGTGGGAAGCCCAGACACTGTCACATGGAAAATTTAAAAAAAAAAAAAAGCCTTTTCCTCCTCCCTCTGCTCTTCCACGAAGAGTCAAACCTCCACTGACTGGATCTGGTTCATCTGTGCCCGCATCATCTGCACGCTGTTGAGGATCTTCTTCTGGTGACCCGCTAATGTCACCCCCACCCTCAGGATGTCGCTGTGAGAGACAGAAGAAGCTGTTGTCAGGAGGATGTTTTCACACGTCTCCATTTAAAGCAAATCTCTGAACTGAAGACCTTTACAAATTGGCAAATTAAAGGCAAAAACATATGGAAAACTACAGAAAACCCTCCTTTATTCTATGCTGATGTCAAGGTCAGAAAAACATCCAGCCTAAAAAACAATGTCATAAACACATTACTCTTCCCACAGATCATTAAATATGACAAATCACAACGACAGGGTTTTTTTTTTTTTAATCAAAGCAGTGGCTTTGGTGCGACTAACGGTCGTGTTCATTATCAATGAACGCATAAATTGTTTTTGCTAAATGAATGAATGATCTCATTTTCGAAAGAAAAATCTCATAATAATGACATCACATATCAAAGATAAATACTTCATTATGGGTTATTTGGCTGCTTATCATTTAACTTAATAAATGTTTCATTTTGATTTAGTTCCACTTTTTAATTATAATTCACTGTTAAACATAACAAATAAAGACCTAACCAGCAATACTTTTATTTGTGTCTTCAACACACATTGAGGCTGAATGACTCACTGACTGATCTTAACCAATCGAACGTCCAACCTTATTGTTAAAGACGACCTTCCTGTCGGCTGATTCATCATCTGACGACGTCTTAAGCTCCAGAATGAACCTGATAAGATTCACCGTGACTCACTTATACCTGGGTTCATCTGAGGAGCAGAAGTCATTCAGCCACAGATCTATTTAATGGCTGTGTTTTCGATCGGCCGTGGTGTGGAGTTCAACTCAGTCGCCTGAACGACTTCCTCTTTCAGGAAGTGAAATGAACCTGTCACTTGGTTTTTTTAGATTTCAACCAGGTGGAGGGCACCACAGAGGGTGAAGTGGGTAGCACACTTGCCTTTCAGAGAGAAGGTCATGGATTTAAACTCCAGCGTTTCTTTAGGAGGTTTTTTTAAAGCATGCAGTAATAGGTTAGCTGTTCATCCTAAATTGACCATCAGTGTGAATGGGGAGATGGTGAAGTGTCCAGGTTGTACTTCGGCCTCAGCCAATGACTAACGACAAATGAATAAATGAACAGTGTGAACCAGACGGACTCTCAGTCTTTAGACCAGGACAAACTAGACTAACGCAAAGAAATATCGTCTATCTAAGCCTCTCTGGGTGTATATGTTTCGCTCGTTTGACTGTCCTTCATTCACAGGAAATGAGTTCTGTCTGTGTCTCTCTGGGTAGTACAGCCAACACCATTGCATGGCGTCACACTTTAATAATTTTTCTAAACACACGACACAGAGAATAAAGGATGCTGTTGTAGCTTTGAGCTATTGCCCCCACTGTTAGAGCCTTGCAACAGAAATATTATGATCAGCTAATAAGATCCAGACCGTCGTGTTTTAACGCCGAGCCCCGGGGTCTTGTGCTTTGTTCGACTTTATGAAAACAAGACTCAGAAAACCCACAACAGTCACATCACCCAAAACTTACTCCATAGTCATCTGAGACACCACGTCAAAGGTATTGAAGTTTGCACTGGAGAAGTTGTCTTTGTACTGGCCCATCTTTATCGCGTCCAGCCACTCGTCCACAGTGCTGAAGCTGGAGAAGTCGGGGATGCTCCGGTCCAGGAGAGGGAGGTGAACGCTGAGCCAGGCAGAGACAGGAGTGATTAGGAATGATGAAAAGACAAATAGACGAGTTGAAAATCAAACAAGTAGATTTTCTAAAAAATCTCAGAGAGTCTCCATAAACCCATATTCTTTTCTTTTTCTTGTGTAAAGCTTCAGGGAGCTAATAAATCCTCTGAGCATCTGTAGAAAATCTGGCTCCTGAGCAATACCACCACTGCCGCCGCCGCTGCCACAACTGAGAGTACAGCTGGGACTGATGAAAATCAGCAAAACCTGTCTCTCAAAGGAAACTAACACTCAGAGCAGAAACACTTCAAAATGTTTTGTTTTGAGAATTACACAACCGTTTCGATCCTGTATTTGCCCGCAGCCTTTGTGGGAAGGATTGGATCTATCTAACCGAATGGCTTTCATTTACATAGCTGCTCGGCGCCAAGCAGAAACAAGAGACAGTGTGTTTGTCGTCAAAGCCAAAGCGTGTTATGGATGGCACCGAGGCAGGGGCATGGATTAAACTCCTCTAAATCTCAGCCTCATGAATATAAAATCATGCCACGACCCGTGTGCTGTTCAGTGTGACACCTCCACAAACAAGAAAATAATAATCGTGCTGCAATAAAAATTATGCTTTAAGTAGGAGAACTCAAACTCATTAACATTCGTGCTAACTGTAGGGTAATTCTTGAATCAACTGCTCTTCTGCCGCTCACCCTGACGATAACGGAGTCATGGCCTTCAGCATGTTGGGATTACGGATCATCTTGTCCAGGTTGTTGACAATCTGGCTGAACTTGGGACGATTGTTCCGCTCTTTCTGCCAACAGTCCAGCATGAGCTGGTGCAGGGCACTGGGGCAGTCCATGGGAGGGGGCAGTCGGTAATCCTGCTCGATGGCATTGATAACCTGCAGGGGGAGACAGAGAATACTTAAGGTTTGGTGTGACACTGTACAAAAGGAGAAGAAGAATAGTGGAGAAAGATAAATTGTATAACAATGTAGAATCAGAAGTTAGTCAAAGTTTTCAGACAGGTGTAGCCATTACAAAAGGTGACAATTGCCTTAAACTAAGGTCTACGTTTCTTTACCTCATAAATAAAAAGTTGTCTTAATACACAGCAGTTTACTATATTTGTTCTTTGAATAAATAATATTCAATTGCAGAAACATTCATTAATAAGTTATGCAGTCACATTCCTACAGTCTTCCAGTTACGGCCTGCCTTTCAAGGGGCAATGTATTTCTGATGTGGCCCCTGGTGAAAATGCTCTGCTCTAGAATTCTCTGATGAAGAATATGTATACATTTGTCGTAGCATCGTCATTTTGATTTACAAGGAAAAAAAAGCATTTTTGACTCACACATTTTCATGTTTAAGTTCAAAGAGCTTGTTTCTTCCTATCGATGAAACTAAACCTCAGCAGGCACACAGGCAGGACCTCAGAGGTTAGAGGAGGATTCTATTCTGTAATATCTCAACAATTTCTTTATAAAATATTCACTTTTCTGTCTTTAAATGAAACCATATGAAACGCTGAGGGGGAAAATGATTTCTTTTTGGTGGAACTGCTCTCAACTCAAATAAACATCACAAACTTCACAAGGGGCCAAAGGACAATGTAAGAATTCATGAAAACACTGAGAAAACACTGATTTGATTTTTGAAGTTTTAGTTTTTTCACTGTAGTACAAAAGTACACAGTTGTTAAATGAGCATCTGTGTTCTCTTCTGTGTGGAAGAGAAACACGACTGCTGCAGTCACCCTTGTGTTCAACCATCGTAGTCGTAGACTGTTCATTAGAGCTGCAACAATTAATCATTTAGTAATCAGCTACTAAATTATTTACCGACTACTGTGACAATAAATCAGAGCTCTCTGAGTGTTAGTCAGACTTCATGTGGTTATTTTCTGCCTTCCCTACCCTGTGAACTGACTTACAGACGAAAACAGACGTTTGAGGATACTGGTACTTCACGGTTTAGACAAAGAGAATAAAACATGACATGTCTGTTTCAACCTTATAAGGGCAAAAACCGTACGACCTTACAGTTATTACAAACAGCTGTCGTAAAGTATTTGAGGTGATTCCTACAAATGCACTAAAGTATCTTAACATTGTTTTTCCACATAAATGGCAAAGTAACTGAGAAACCTGATTCTGACACCCTGTCTCTTTGGGAGTTCATAAAAAACTAGGGCTGTCAGACTGTAATGTTTTTTAATCTGATTAATCACAGCTGTGGATTAGTCATGATTAGTCATGATTAATCTGTATATTGCTGCAACAGAAAGACAAATAACAGCAGGTTGGATGTATATGTTTTGCACCTGTTTTTATTTGAAACTAATCCACATGACGGAATTATAAAATGGAAAAACTTCAAGAAAAATAAGCTAAAGAATAACGCTAAGTTTAGCTTCATAGAGTTGACGGATTTTAGTCAGACGCCAAGCTTTGCGTCAGGCCTGAAGAAGAAGTGTGTGTAAATGACCACAGTGTACTACAGCAGGGATTCCTAGAGTGTGGCGTGCCAAGTCGTGGGTGTGTGCGAACTGCCACTAGGGGGTGCGAGGGATAAAAAAAGTGACGTCATTTGGGGAGTTTTTTTAAATGGGATTTTCCCATACAATAAAGATAAATACACTTTTTGGTTCCGGTCACTTCAACATGCTTCCTTGATGCAATTTTTTAAGTTGTTGGGAATTGGGGGTGCGTCAAACGGGTTATGAAATAGAAGTGGGGCGCAACCAAAAAAGTGGACAGACTGGTTATTGGTTAATACATTCTGCAATAAAATGCATTCAAATACTTATTCTGATTTATTTCACAAACTAGTGATCAGAAGTTAATATGTTAATTTCGTCTGCCTGTTAGAAAACAAATTCAAAACTGCACTCACATTTCAGTACACTGAGCGGTGTGTGTGTTAAAACTAAACAATTACACTTTATCTGGGAATTTGTTTTGTTCTTTGTACATTGTCAGTAATTACAGTCTGACTGCACAGTGATCTTATGCATCAATAGGTGCATTGAGTCCGGAGTCGGGTCTGGCGTAGAACATAATCCTCACGTTGACATGTCTACTCACCAATGATGACCTGATTCAAACCCTTAAAAAGTAGTTAATGATCTCTATCTTTCTGCAGGAGCCGCCCTAAAAATATGTTTGCCTCCGTCTGGGGGACATCACTGGTTGTTGGGGGGCACAGTTAACAGATTGGAACAACCTGGAGGACACTTGTGATGAGGACGTACAATCCCTTGCTCATTATCAGGGCCATTAAAGGAAGTCTATTCAGGCTCAGATTAATCTCATTCATGAGACTGCCGAAGGAGCACCCCAATGGAGCAGAAACACTATCTGAAGCTGCTAATAAGATAAGCGTTCAGGTCCTCACTCCCTCTTAGCACATTAGTGTTCTCACTTTCAATTTCAAACTATTTTCATTATCTTCTCCCCATAATTTGCTCTCGCCTCCGCTACCCGGAGGGAGATAGGAAATGGAGGCTCCAGTCAAGAGCAGAAATTGTCCACTGAGCACTGCTGTGCATTTAAAATGATCTGATTATGTCTCTGTGGTGACAATAGAGACATTTCTATATAAAACCCACGTGTGAAACCCACTGTTTGGTTATGGGAAAGCAGATGACGATGACCGGAAATGTTTCTCTGAGGACTGTCGGGCTCAGAGCAAAACTCAAAGTAAAGTTGTTGTTAAATTGTAAATAACATTCAGAGATTTTGACGGTAAAACGTGTGTTTAGAATACTCACATCCTGATTGGTCATGTCCCAGTAAGGCCTCTCTCCGTAGGACATGACTTCCCACATGACGATCCCGTAGCTCCACACATCACTGGCAGAGGTGAACTTCCTGTACTGGATGGCTTCAGGGGCGGTCCATCGAATCGGGATCTTTCCACCCTGACAACACAAAGGTCATGAGAAAATGGATGTTAAACTGTCACGGCGTCTTACACTAAAAAAAAGTCAGCATTTGAGGCATCCATGCTGGTTTAAACACAGATTACAGGGTAGAAATGTCAAAAACTCAGCACTGAACTCAACTGTCTGGCAGCAAAAGAGCAAAGACATGAATCAGAGCGGAGCAGACGTGTTTTCAAACTACATCCCTGACCTTGTCTCAGTGATTTTCTCCCTGCTTTATCTTGTGAGGAGAGAAATGAGACGTGATCGTTGTCCTACCAAAGCACTGGTGTAGGTCGGGTCCGAGGTATCGTCCTCCAGGAAGCGCGAGAGACCAAAGTCGGACACCTTGCACACGAGGTTGCTGTTGACCAGGATGTTTCTTGCTGCAAGGTCACGGTGCACGTAGTTCATATCTGCCAAGTACTTCATGCCTGAGGCGATGCCACGGAGCATACCAACCAGCTGGATCACAGTGAACTGACCGTCGTTTTGCTGCAGGAGGTCCAGAGAAAGGGGTTTAATAAATGATAAATGTTGATGATGAATTTATGATGCTGACAATAGTTCACAGAGGTCACCTCACTGTAGTTGTGTCGAATTATATCATGTCATATTACGTGATTAAGCAACATGTAATGGTGATGTTTTTACTCAGTTCATTCACCTTTTCTGTTTTCTGTACAAGTTTGTCAGAGAATTCATGGGAGCAATTAGTTCTAAATGTGTACAGTAACAAAAGTAGTAGTACACAAAAATAACTGCAAAGACTAATATCAGTCCGTCTGGTTCATGAATTATAACAAATCAATCATTCCAGTCATTTCTGAAATAACATTCAAATTTCATCATATCACCAATAGTGTTCATCATATACATGATTAACATTTAACCTTTATATATGAAGTTGTTTTCTTTAAAAGCCTTGTTAGGTTACAAAAAAACAGCAAAGTTTGGGTTGGTCTTAACCTTCTACAACCAAACAGGGCGGAGCTAACATGGGCCTGGCTGTCTGTCTACAGCTGTTCCCCTCTCTGGTTTGGTGAGGGGCTTTACCCCGCGTACAGGGAGCGTCTGGAGCGGTGTTGCAGCTGTGCGTCCAACTGTGCACACCTGCACTCTCCCCACCACCCACCACGAGGCCTGGAGAACAGAAGATTCCAGAGAGCTGATCACGGCAGCTCAGGGCCGGGTGTGGACAGACGGGAAAGCAAAGAGAGGGAATATAAAAAGCAGGCGCGCGGGGCCTTGAGCACAGTCGTATCAAGAGTCTGCATGACCGCTCCATTGGCCTATTTCCCTTTCAAACATTTTGCTGCTCATTATCCAAGTGAATGCTTCCCTCCTCGCACCAAGCTGCTCCTCTCTGTGTACCACAGCAATTAACCAGGATGCATTATTCATGAAATCCTTCTCACAAATACACATTGTCACCTAATCAGAGTGCCGTGTTTGCATATACTTTAATTAGAGGGATTCTTCCAAAGTCTTTATGCTCGACTAAGCTGGAAAAAATTACAATTTGGTATTAAACCATGTATAATTTATTTGTTTGAATAATTCATGCAAGGAATGTTTCATATTCTCTGATTCTCTTCCACTAACTCAGCCTGGCTTAGATCAATGCATCCTCCTTTCCTGGCTCTCTTCATACTGCAGTTTTCTTTGCAGCGGCGGCAAGAGTAAAGGGAATACTGCAGTTCTCTCAGCAGCTCATAGAAGCTTTCATTCTAAACAATGACCCTCCAATCACCTCTGAGACGACACAGAGCATTGTTCAGAGGCTTCGACACCGTCAGCATCTGTTGTCATAAACTATCAGGCTGAGGTGCTGCAGAGCCGCCCTGTTGGTGTGAATAGAAACTGCTGTCAAATGTGTTTAGCAGATATCTACATATACACAAACACCCTTCACTAGGTGATCAGATTCAGAAAAGAGCTGATGCTCTGAGTCTCACAGGTCGGCCGCTGAATGCCAATACACGCTCCCCAGATTCCTTTCATAGCTGTGCACGGGCAGGAGCGTGCACGTGTCTTTCTATAGGTCGGGTTTGATGTGGTCTTTCAGGAGGATGTTGAAACTGACTGTCAGACAGGGCTTTATACGGTGGGAGAGTGTGAATGAAGGGGGAGGGAAAGTGTGTCTTCAGTTTAAAAGTGCTGCTTATGTTTTTCCGGCACTGCAGATTCATGTAAAGAAATGTTTTTGTCAATTTAATAGTAAATACATATAATGTAAATATACTGTAATATAGTTTTTGGCACAGCCTAACTTATCTAATCACACAGTTTCAGGCATATACAGAACTGTGCAAAAGTTAAAGGCAGGGATGCAGAACCTCATACTCATTAACAGTCAACATTTTCCTAGCCTGTTTGGGATTATTTTGTGAGTTGAATGGTAAATCGGGTTTTGATGCTAAAGATAAAAATAACAATTCTCAAGCCCTCCCTCGTCCAGGAAAGAAGCCCTCTGTCCTGGCTGAGCAGGTCCAGTAACATGGTGGACCTGCTGACAGGGGCACGATAGTCTGTAGCCACCTGAAAACCCGGGGGTCCACGAACCAGATGTTTTCTTTAAAAAGTCAGTCTTCCAGCTTTTGTTTCTCTACATTAGCCCTCAGGGTAAACTAATTATTAAGGGCAACAAGTACAAATATTGAATGTTCTTTTTAAATACTTAAAAGGTTTGAAGTATTTTATCAAAGTTATTAAGTGCCTATTATCCAAAAAGAACAACTACAGTGAAAGCACACACACGCACACACAAATATATATTCCCTAAAGAAATGTCTACCACTTCCACCAGCAGCTGGTAGGTGGAGTATATCATCTCAAAACAAGCTTCAGGTAAAACTTGAAGTCTGACAACTTGTTTCAAGTCTTTAAGCTCTAAAACTGAACTGTGTTTATTTATCCAGGTCGTAAACATGGAAACTTTTCAGATGTAGACGTCTCTACGTCGACAAACTTCTCTGGTGTTGAACTAACTGATGATATCCAGCTCTGTTATTCCAGACTGCCTTAAATTGAAAAACACACCAGGAGTCTGAGTCTTAAACATGATGCTGCACAGACACGCAGGTGAGAGCTGCTGATTTGGTGAGTAATAACATTTACTTACAGCTTACCACAACGGAATGTCCTGTATAAACCATGTCTAGTTATTGCTCATATATGCACAGATGTAAAACGCCGAGTACAACCACGCATCTGTTAACGTGCAGTGAAGGATTGAATTCTTCTGACTAAATCAGGCTAAATAATATTAGATTACAAAGCTTTTTTAATCCATGTGAAAGACAGCATGATGAATTGAATGCTTATTTTTCCATTCATAGAAATGATGATTGACGAGGTGGTGAATAAACCTCAGTTTTAGTCCAGTCAAGTTGGGTCGGTCTAATACCTGCGTTGCACAGCAGAAACGTTGGCCTGAGGATGTAATTTGACAGGCAGTCAGCAGGTAGCACAGCGTATTACTGTAGCAAACCCTGGTGAATGTGAGGTCATCATCATATAATTTTTTCCCCCCCTAATCTCATCACAGTAAAGTTCTGAATGAAGACCGGCTGGATCACTGCAGTAAAGTGGTTTGTTGTAACAGCCTGAGAAAATGACTTCAGCTGGAGCTGGAGCAGTTTAACTGCAGAGCTGTCAGCAGTTTCACCAGCTGATGTCAGTCTGCTATCAAACATTTTACTAGCTGCAATCTTCCATTGCAAGCACACCACTGGAGGATATCACTCCAAACAGCAGTTTATTTCTCTTAGATTACTACTAACGAAGGATGCTTCAGTGTTAACACACAAGAGTGGCCTCAACTGGGGCATAAATATTACATTTTCTTGTGTAAACAAATACAAAAACTTGAATTAATTGATCTACTTCGAAAACTCCAATGGAGACATGGCACCATAACAAACATTAATAGAATGTTCTTTATCAGACCAAATTGTTCTACCCTGTAAATCACACAATCATCTGTACAACGGTTGACATTTTCTTGATGTAAAAAAAGTAATTATTTTTCAGCCTTTTACTGAACATTGTCACTTCATCAACCCACTCGCCGAGGTCTGGAACTGTTGGGAACTAAGTAAATAATGTTATTTCAGAAATCTACAATAATTGACAAACAGAGTTTAAAAAAATCTCTTACTCTGAGGAAAGAATCCAAAGACCCATTCTCCATGAACTCAGTGATGATAATGACCGGACTGCTCTTGGTGACCACGCCCTCTAGGTGAATGACATTGGGGTGGTCAAACTGCCCCATGATGCTGGCCTCGCTCAGAAAGTCCCGCCTCTGTTTTTCAGTGTATCCAGACTTCAGAGTCTTTATGGCCACAAACATCTCCCTTTTTCCCGGGAGTTTCAGATTACCGCTGCAGACTTCTCCAAACTCTCCTGTTGAAGCGGTTAGATTTAGACTCAGAGTAGCAGCTAGGCTTTATTACAAAGCCAGCACTGTGTCATCAAAATGTCAGTCAGTTTTTCATTACCTGCACCGATGACCTGCTCAATCTTCACACATGATATATCAATCTCCTTGGCAAACTCTCTCACAGCCTCGTTGGGGTCCTCGTATGTGAACGGATCAATATATATCTTCATTCCTGGAGTCACTTGGAAAAAAGGGAACAGGAGATGATACGATATTTGACTCTCCTGGTCAAGTGTACAGCTCTCACCGTCAGGGTTGTTAGGAAGAAATTGCACTCACACAAATATAAGATTTCTTCTTTACATCACAATTGATTTAGAATATTAACCACATACCCGGTGTATACGGCTGTATGTGTGTGTGTGTGTGTGTGTGTACATATACACATGTACTGTAGTGCACGACTGAGCACTATATCAGCATTGCTCAGCCTCACTCCAAGAAATAAATTGGCTCTCCTAAGCCCCGATGGCAGGTAAATTGGCTTAAGGTGGCCTTAAGTGTTCCGGGGACTTAAGAGTCCTGAGTTTTAAATCCGATTATTTGTCTCTCACCTTCACATCAGGTCTGAGGCTAACTGAAAGGATACTGAACTTATGCTGCAGAGCTAGAAGAGCATGCATGTCGCCCCGAAAACCTGGCATGCTTCTCTGAAGAACCGTGCTGCGGAGATGAACAGATGGAGAGGAGCCGACCACGCAAAGTCTCCACCCCCACCTCCAACTAATACCCTACAATCACTTCCTGCTCTGAGGCACTGTTCAAAGGACCACCCTCCTTCCATGGCAGAGACCACCAAAAACAAGGGCATCAACCTGACATGCTACTGGTTTGAGGACAGGATACACACTTGGCTTCAGCTGTCACACACTCACAAACTGTCGCTTTTTTTCTTTTACAGCTCACAAACAAAATATGAGGAAAGTTGCAGTTGTGAAGTACCTAAACAAAATGACAAAGTTTTGCCAAGGCTTCTAGATAAATCTATATCTGTAATCTGTCTCTTATGCCAGAAAAAGGTAGATTAGCTCCACTGTTGACACAACTCATTCTTCATTTGAAGGATGTATTCCAAAATATCCTTTATTTAGGTCAATCACTTCTGTAATCTCTGATGAAAGAATACATTTACAAACTCCATTAAATCACAAGCACTATGAATTTTTCACAAAGGAAAATGACTTGTGTGACATTAACATGCAAATGGACCTGGGGGCGACAGAAAAGTGACCTATTTTCACCACAATGGAATCATCTAATGGTGAAATGTGACAATGATGAGGACACACACACACACACATAGAAGAAGACTCTTTTGATGCCTTTAAATCTACACACTCCAAATGAGCAGTTAAACAACAGGCAGGAGCTCTGGTGAGTGTGGGACAAATTAAGTGGTGCTGTGCTGGTCTGCAGCCAAGGACGCCAGCAGGCAAGGTGGTAGCCATGGAGACAGGTGTGTGAGGTAGCAGAGAGCTGAATGATAGCCATGGAGATAACGGTGTGAGGCGGTAGCCATGGAGACAGGTGTGCCTGGTGCTGGGAGAATAACCAGAGGTGGTACAGGGAGGGGTGGGGTTGGTTTTTACTCACTGTGGCCGCTGGTGTAGTGCTGCAGTTTGTCTGTGTATTCAGAATCAGCCCTGTCGAAGCCACGCCTCCTGGTGGAAAAGACAAAGAAACTCTAGCTCTGGTTCACAGACGGGTAACAGGGTGTGGTAGCAGCACAGATCAAACACCCTCAGGTCTACCTGGGCTTGAAGATAGCACAGTACAAAACAACGACAGAACTATGCAGATAAAAAAATTAAAAAAGCAAGGAATGTTATGCTGCACTGGAAATGGTAACCAGCCATTAAGATTAGGGCTATTAGGTCTGGGGTTGGATCCAATCCCAGCAGACATTGGGCAAAAAGGCAGGGACACAATCATGCCTGGTTGCCAGTGCATTACAGGAACAACCTAAACTGACAAACAACCCTCACATTTAAAGGCACATCAATGGTCAACTCCCGGTCTCCAAGGAGCGTAAATGAAATCATTGACGCTGTATGTTTTCTTCTGCTTTAGTTATTCTTTACAACAACAGCATCAGCGCCCCCTGGCTTTACATTACTTTTAATTAAAGTGTTCCCACTGGCTGTCACACCATGACAGTAACGTGTCATAACATTTACCAGGGGAGACACATGCTTATTGCATCACAGTGATTAAAAAATCAAATTAAAATAAGTCAAATGACTTATTAAACTATACTTAAAGCTGCAATATATAAATTAAGATATGAAAAATTAGTGGTTGGTTATCCTGTGTTTGGGTAGCAGTTCCAATAATTTCCTGTAGGGGCTGTTTTTTTTATACAATCTGTGCTGTTACATGTAAAATTATCTCTTTTATTTGACGATATTTCCCTTTGTATAACGTGCAATTAAATATTCCAAAAATCCTTCATGTACAATAATTTGGACCCTTTTAAGTTATTTCATTAGCACAAAAGAATACTGATCCTGCACTTACGTCTTAGGTGCCTCTCCACAACCAATCAATGCAAGACAGAGCTCATTATGGCTAACAAGAAAAATAACGTTGTGGATCTTGTAAATAAAACTGTGTTGTTGCCTTTAATATGCAGTTAATTTATTAAGTAACTGAAGCAGAGTCACATCAGAATGTAAATGCACAAGGTTAGACTATGAAATTACACCTTTATACAGTTTAGTTAATCATAACGTAAGATACTACAGTTATATTTCAACCATACAAATCTACCTAATACACTTGTGGATCAACCCCAATAACTAAGCAGCTACAAACACTGTTTATCTCTAAGCTACACTTGAACTAAAACAAAATAAACAAAATAAACATTTCATATTTTTTAGCACCAGCACCGACCATATATCTTCTAAGCGTAACCTCTTGAACCCAGAATTCACATCAGCATTCTCACACTTCTACTATTCTACTGATAAAAAAACCCTAAAGCCAAACATTGCCAACTCTGTGACCTTTTTGCAGAAGTGTTGCAGGCAGTCAACTTTTTATAGAGACAGGAAAAGGTCTGACTCACCGGTTGCAGACGATGATGATGACGACCACAGCGATGAGGAAGACCAGGCCGGCAGCTGCTGATCCAATAATGAGTGGCAGCTTCTCCTGTATGCTAGTGTTGTACTCCTCTGTTACAAGGGGAAACACATACATTAACACGGCGCACACATTTAGAGAGTCACAGGCTGAGACATATGGACGAGCATCTGAGCTGCTGCATATGGAGGGAGCGCTGGGTGACAGACTGACATACGGCTGGGAGAACGCACCGAGCAACTTGGCATCTTGATTGGCTGCGAGGCCCGTTTTCACAGACACAATGAATGTGCTCAGATGGCGCGGATACGGACAAATCATCTGTCAGAAAATTGTGTGAATTGAGCACAGAGAGCATGTTTGGGTGAGACCCAGATGGACTGGGCAGCCAAGAGCAGGGATTCGACTGGAGACAGAGCCAGATCCAGAGCCCTCTTTGGAGAAGTGCAAGTACCATAAAATAAATGGTTTTCTTTGAAATCTGAAATGATGTTTAATTACTTTGGGAAAACTGATTTAAGTTTTTTTTACTAATATAACCAATGAGCATTGTATGTATAGTTATATTGTAATGTTATGGAGAATTAAATTAATTTTGATAATATTCAGATTAATTTTTTGTTAATATTAACACATGGACACAAACTGTATATCCATTAGTCATCACCAATTTTCAATACACCTGCTGTATTTTACACACACTATAGCAACATTTTAACATATATATATATGTGTGTGTGTAAAAATCTAAGGTTTAAGTCGTGATTTGATTTAGAAATTTGCCATATGTCTTGAAGAATTTTCACATTCATTGATACATTTTATTATATGACTGATGTTTAGTCTTTCAGAAAAATGAAAAAAAAATCTGTAAAAAAAAGTTTCAACCAAACAGATATTTAAATTTAAAGGACAATTTTGATGAAATAATGATGAGCCGCACACAGGGCTTCAAACAACCTTGGTTTATTTACTGTTTCACAGTTGTGATTCTGTTTGATGTATCTTGACTGCTGGAGTCTGTGCGTGTGGCAGCATCAGGGCCTTTTTGTGCAAAGCGTTGAGGCTAATGATGGCCCTGGGCTCTGCAGGCTGAAGGAAATGAGAGATTCTTGGGGGAAAACCCAGGCCTTGGCTCTGACATTAACCTACATGACTGATGTTTACTAAATGTTTCTTTCACTCCGGGTTGTGCCATTGTACAAACATTTGACTTCATCTTTGAGTCAGAGGCATATTTTCTGCTCACCGCTGTGAAGAAAGAACTCCTCAAAGACTTATTTGCGAATAAATACTTAGAGGAATTTCACTCATTCAATTCAAGGTGAGCAGGATGTTTATTTAACGATATTTAACATTCATTTTAGCTGCGTTCATGACCCAAGTTTTATTGTGTGTGAAAATGATGATCGAGACGTGAACGCTCACCTTCAGTCATGGTCTGAAAGTACAGTTTCCCGCTGTAGCGACCGAACCCGGCCACGGTTCGAGCCCGGACCTGGAAAACGTATATGCTTCCTGGTTTGAGGCCACGGATGACCACGGTGTTGGTCGGGCTCCTGATGGTGGTGGAGTTGTACTCTGACTGCTCCTAAAGACAAGAAAGGAAACAATACTATTAAATCGCTACACAGTATAGAGTACAGTACTACAGTAGTCATGGTTAACAATAATAATAATAATGTCATCTGCATAAATATGCAAGTTACAGTTGAAAACAATGTGATGCAACAGTGTCACTGGGCATTTCTCTTTTTTATGATGATGTATAAATATATATATATATATATATCACATTGAACACATTTGTTTTATATTTTAGGGTACAATAAATACTATTAGTTGTAAGGTTTATTTGAAAATTATTCTCCAAACTAAACGAAATAAAAGTAAAATCTGTTTAAAAAGAGTATAAAAAAATAGCAATTTTTGTTAAAGACAAATCCAGAAACCACAAAAGCAATCATTTCTGTCACAGAAAGAATAATGTCGGATAAAACAGCAGGAGTCCAACAATCGACACATCCAACAACTGCAGTAAAGAAGACAGAATTCGGTGGCAGTTTCAGGTCAGGCTGCTTTTTTCCACTGTTTGGTCTGATGATCAGAGTGATATTTCACTGCCACCCTGCTCCTCTCCAGAATGCTGACAGGTCTGAGAGCAGGGACTGAGGCTCCTTCAGCCGACTCCCTTCAAACGAATGTTCAGTTCAGACCTGGGAGCCGCAGCAGGAGCCACGGCGTTTGTTATGACAGCTCTCTCCAGCAGTGTCACTGACACTGGAATCCATTTTAAAGTGAATAGGCTCGACGTGTAGATGAAGGTTTAACACATGATGTGACTCTGTGTATGCGCCAGTGCGTGTTTGTTGCGTCTACGTGTCTATCTTAAGTAATAGCAGCTCTTGACTCGACACACATCTAAGACCGTGAGTTCTCCTGTGAGAAAGAATGCAGTCTTGAGCAGCTCGCCTCTTAAATACTATTTTTACAGCCGTCAGTGCACCATTGTTTCAACCACAAGTCTCGGAGCATCAATTCTCTGTGGCCCAACTGCAGGGCTGCGTGTGGTTTGGGTTCCCAGTGACTGACTGTAATTGTAAATGAAAAAGAACGAGCTTAGGTTCTAAGCAGAGCTCAGTTACTTTGTGGACCTGCCTCCAAGGATGTGCTGTTATGCAAATGATGAGTATGAAGGCGCAACTTAACAAATAGGTTAGCACATGATTTTTTTTTAGCCGGATAGAAAACTAGGGCGTGGATCCCGTGGTTGTATGGATTAGTGTACGAAGGACACCGACAGTACCTTCTCATAATACTGCAACTCATAATCCAGGATGACGCCATTGGGCTGGTCAGGCTGGGACCAGGAGAGAGTGATGCTGTCCACGGTGCGACTGACCTGGTGCATTATGGATACAGTAGATGGAGCTGTAGAACAAAGAGAGAAAAGTCAACATTTTGAGATCTTTGACAAATCAATCAGTGTAAAATCACTGCCCCCCACACCCTTTTATTACAACATTGTCATTCATTCATATTAAAAATCAAATTAAAAATCACCCCCAAAAAATAACAAATGCCGCCTCTGCCACGGCATGTTCGAGCACCACTGTTTGGGCTCAGATCACAGCAGCAGCCTCGTGGGACTTCCCTGCGTTAGCTGTGATTTTCGTATGATTCATTTGTGCGTTGACATGCTGCTGATAACAGCTTCTGTAAATAAATCACTTGGCGAGCAGCGGACCACCACCACCACCACCACATCTTATTACAGCTCTGTCGGCCAAATGTAAACTGAACACCCAGAAAAGCCAGTGAAGCTGAGACACTCCTTTGTCTCCTACAGGCTAATTTAATTTTGAAGCATTTACTTATAGATAACAGTTTGGTTTAGTCGTGATCCTTTGTCTGTGTGTTTTATTAGGCTAGTAGACAAACACAACGGTTACTTCATCCCCATTATTTATTACCACAAGTGACATTAATGCTTTTATCATAATAAATTAGTTCCTATTTCAGCATTTCAATGTAGAGCTAGATAGGCAAGAAAAAAATGTTAACTTCAATTTTGTTAGATTATAATCAACAATTAAAATACTTTATCATCCTTAGTTGTTTTTGGAAGTGCAGAAGATTTAGGACAAGCTTCTGGAAGTTGATGCAGGACTAGGAATAATTCAGCAGGGATCATCGGATTTTTTTTTAAACAAAACTGCGACTGAAAATGAAAACACTAAATCTCCAACTAGCAATCTCTTGACGTCTCCATCCTGACAGAGGCACAGGCCACACAGGTGGTCATCCAGGGTGACAGCTGATGCAGGGCCAACACTGTAATCCCTCAGAAAACAAAACAAAACAAAATAAACAACACCAAACTAAAACCCCACCTACGGGTCAAATATGGTCAGAGCTGACGTAGCAGCTTGGACCTGCTTTTGTAAAGGGTTTTACTGGATCTTTCAGACTTTAGCCTCCAACTGAACCAAAGATCAGAGATAGTAGTAACTCACTGTATTGACAATTCTCTCAACAAATGCTTTCATAAATGATAAATTGTTCCTGAATAACAGAAGACTTCATAAATAACACAATAGATGTTGCTGGATACAATTTACCCAGATGTTTTTATTCTGGGTTTGGACTTTCTTTAACATGAAAAATGATCTTTACTAAATTACAGAATAATTTCACAAAATTTCTAAATGTATTTGTTTGTTTAAGTTTTAAGTAAACACTATACTAAATAATGAGGGCAAAGTACTCATTGCAGCTGGTTTCCTCTAATTTAATCTATAATTTTAAGACTTCGTTTTCATTATGTCAACATCCCATAATGCCTCTAAACACACATGTTGGCCATTTCCAGCAGATTTCTGTGCTGTTTTTGTGAATTTCTTTTCCAAGTAGTGCAGAATGGAGTCCAATTTAAATGCGCCTAACTACAGTCCTGCAATAGTCCAATGACTTGTAACTTTGTAGATTCTTTTTAGTAAAGCCGGAGGTCAAGTGGGCGTGATCACCTCACGTCCTTCAACAAGCATTTAGATTAGTTCAGGGTGCCAGGCTTTAGTGTAAATCTAAGAGAAGCCGAAGATAAAAGGCATGTGTCTCTGGAGCACTGGCCCATCCTGCAGGCTGCGGTGTGTATGTGTGAAAGAGACGGGTGGGTGGGTGAAAACATGGAGGAAGGGGGCCCTGTGTAAGATTTACGAGCGTCCAGCACCACCTTCATCCCCTGCAGGCCTGGGCTGCTCACACATGCAGCTCTCAGTCAGCGGCTCAGTGGCTGCTCTCATAAAGGCAGAAGTTTATCCATCCTCAAAGGCTCTTCACAGGAAATCCACCGACTGGAAACCTGCTATTGGTGCATATCTACGACCTCAGATTTACTGGCTCTGAGTGTTTTGGTTTTACATCTCCTACACCTGCAGTCTTTAAAAACAAACCAGAGGTAGCCCCAGACACACAGAGTTAAGGTATGTTTTAATTATTACTGCCACTGTTTTAGAATTGGGCCACACTCACAATAACAGTCTACCCACCACTGTTACGGTACCCTACATAATAAACATCCTCTGGGTTCTCAACACACTGGGCCACGCTTACTTCATCAATCTTATGACTGAGGTCATTAAAGCTCAAATGCTAACACCTCGTAAGGTAAGGAACTTAACTCATCCACTATCTCGTCTTTTTTATTTGTCCAAACTTTACTTAAATCTGGAAAGACATGCCAACGCTGTTTAAAAAAAAAAAAAACCTTGGAAGAAGCGTCTCAGGATCCCGAGGAAGAACAGGAAGAAAGTACAAGACCACTTCGACTTTGAGTCAATGACAAAAAGTCGGCTCAGTAACCCCATTTATTGTCATCAACTAATCAGCTCAGCCTAACGTGGCCTCTGAACCAAACAAAAGCTTCTATCCGAGGCAATAAATTATAGTGTCTCCTGTAAACTGTGATGGTCAAAGGTCTGAGAACGTCCTCATGTGCCGCTGCTGCCAGGAGATAAAATTACAGACGCTTTGTATTTCATCTCAGTAGAGCATTTACACCGTGGAGACCTGTGACATGCACAGTCCTCTTCCTGGAGCCTAAAGTACAATAATGTATACAGTAACTGTCCAGGACAGTACTCTGAAGGGTCTTCTTCATCTCACTGCACTCAACAGTTTGTTTGCAGTCACAGGACGACAGCCTTAATAAGGCAAACAGTCAGTGTGAGGGGAGCTCACGAGTATCCCCTTACGGATGTGCATATATCTAAGAACTGCCACATGTTTTTTCTCCTGCATAGCATTTCCATTAAACACACACTACAGCCATCCCTGGTAACCCGACACCGAGCCAAAGAAACAAAGGCAGCTCATGTCTTCATGTACAGAGGATGGACACATGCCAAAAAAAAAAAGGAAGAAGAAAAAACAGTGTTGGAGAAGGACAGGGTCTGTTTTTACTGTTAAAGGACAACTTCCAGATGGCAGATGGTGTTACAAAAGACAAAACCATAATTGCATTTAAAGAAGACATAACATGAAGTGATAGGTAAAGACCCAGTCGAAGTGTTGAAACGTTTGGCCAGTAAGAAAAACAACATTTGAGCCGTGCTGCATGTTTAAAGTCAATCCAGTCCACGCATTTCCGAGCTACACTGACGTTCCACCAATTGACTGTGGTATGCGTCAGTGGACCGAGCCAATGTTTCAGAGGCGGACGGCCTGCAGCAACGAACCACACATGAAAACCATTTTTCTACATCTAACTCATGTAGCCGCACCAGAAGTCATCATTGTAGTCCAAACCAGAAGGTGTACTAAGCAGTGTTCTTTTTTCTTCGGCCCTTAATTTATCTGTAATTTAAAGGCTAGTTTTTCATTGTTTCAACATCATTTGCTGTGTAATGCCTGTAAACACGTGTTTTTGGTTGTTTCCAGCAATTTTCTGTGTTGTCACGGTAATGTTTTCCTAAATGGTGCAGAATGCAACCATAATTTCGGACAATAAGAAACTGAAAACACAAAGATGATATCAGGTTTCCCAGTTAGTAACATTCTCTAGCTAAAGAATGTCAGGTCAGATCGATTTATTCAAAGTGGCCGAGCTTTACTCACCCTATAGATTTCCCTTAACAAATGCACCGTTCTCTTGTTCTCAAAACTAATGAAGCAGTTCTAATAACAATGACAAGGATTATACGTTTGGCTAATTAAATGAGAGGGGCTGAATTGGAAAGATAAATGGTCCTGATGAATGCGTCTCTAAAAGCACTACAATATGGGTTTTGAATTCACCACGGAGCAGTCAGGGAGCAGACGGAGGAAGTATGTAGAATGTGACCGAAGCAGATAAAGTGTTGTCAAAAGCAGCTGTCAGTCAAAAACAGATGGGGTTTGCGCTCATCATGAGCTGCCACAGACTGATTGTCATTGTCAGGTAAATGATGTCTTTTTCAGCAATGACAAAAAAAGTGTAAATTGTTCCGTGCTAAAAAGTTTCTATAATTTTAACCTGCGTTTCACCACTTGAGTTAAACATTTAAACACAGAGATGTTGATACAGTTCCAATGTATTTTTCATTAGGGCTGAGTTTTGTTAAGAATCTCACAATTCTATTTGATGTTGATGTAAACGCCTCCATATTGATTATAGAATACCAGATAATTTTTTTTTTAAATTATTTAATGATTTTCGTGCCCACAACAACCAGTGTTGAAGGTCCAACGTGTAACATGTACAGAGACGGAGGATTCTAGACTGCCATTCAGAAGGTTCCAGGTCCTATTCCACCTGGTCGCCAATCCTAAATTGTACCTGGTGTGACAAACAGTTGGATGTGATTTAAAAATCTTTAGCTACTCAACCTGAAAAAAAAATTAACAACATAAAAGAACGTTGTACTGTGAACCAGATAATATTTTACTTATATACTCGACTCTACTCTTATACTTGCTTAATTATGGTTAAACCCAGGCCTGGAAAAAAAAGAAATTCCATTCCTAAATGTCACATAAATTCCCTGATACTCTTAGAGAACGAGATGCCTCGGTTTCACGCAACACGCAGACCAAATATGACCTGTTAATAACAACACTGTGTGTGGTCTGTGACACAGATCCCTCAGTCTCAAGAGTCCAAAAGTAAATTCTTATGCAAATCCTATTTTATCACATCAACAGCCTGCTCTCATAGATGTTTGTAAATTAATCAATTGCTTCAACCAGCATCAGAAAAGGAGGGAAAAGTTGTTGGCAGCATTGGCCAATAGTGTTAGTGAAAAGATGATAATGACAGCAGATTTGACTGTAAACATATTTCACGTCCACACCAATAGCCTGAAATGCATTAATACAGAGAATACATAAAGCCACGCTGTAAACATCCCTGAGGCAATTCAATATGTTGGAGTTTACTTTCTGCGCTGCTTGAA